CTTAGCCGGTTGAGCCATAGGCGCCGAGCCAAACCCTGAGGTTTTAATCAGGATCTTCAAAATCATCTCCATCCCTTACCAGAAAGGCTGGGGAGAGATTCCATGTGTCTGCTCTGGTTTTCCACATTTCAGTGCCACAGTGCCATACATGAGCTGGGACTCTGCCCAGAGTGTTGAGTGAGAACAAAGCCTATTTTCATAGGTATATTAAACTTTTTCCCATCCCTGTGTCCTTAATGCCAAACACTGGCCCAAGTGCCCTCCTGGACCTATGCTGATTTGCTAAGTTACCTCTCTGGGCCTCAGTTTTTTTGAAATACAAGTTGAGCATCCCTAATCCCAAAATCCAAAATCCAAAATCTGAAATGTTCAGAAATCTGAAACTTTTTGAGCATACCAGCATGATACTCAAAGAGCTTTTTGGATTAAGGATGCTCAACCAGTTAAGTATAACTGGTATACTATCAGTATGCCAAACTGCAAAAAAATCCATAATGTGAACACTTCTGGTCCCAAGCATTTCAGATAGATAGTACCCAGCCTATAGATACATGAACACCATCATAAGAGGCTGAAGGCAGCATGGTAAAACAGAGAAAATTTGGTTTGTGGGGTTTGCAGACTTGGTTCAAAGGCCAGCTCTGCTACTTAGAAGTTAGTGGCCTTTGGCAAACTTCTTGACAACTAGTGCCCCAGTTTCTTCACCTGCAAAATGGGCTACTAATGCCTTCCTTGATGGGAATTTGCAAAACTAGAAATGATATTAATACTAAAGATAAAAATAATAATACATAACATCTATAGGGTTTACATGTACCAGGAACTAGATAAAGAGCTGTACAATGGACTCTGTCACTAAATTTTCACAACCTTGTGAGGTAAGCACTATTATTATCCCCAGGTTACAGCTAAGGACACTGACTTTGACTGAATAACTTGGCGTTGTCACATGGCTAACGTGGCAGAGTCAAGATTCAAATCTAAGTCACCCGACTTTGGGGACAGAACCTCTGGCTACCACAGGTATCCAACGTGATTGAGGATGAAAAGGAATTTGTAACATGGAGGACACCACACACACAAAGTTAAAATGTTGTGATCATGAGGAGGAAGAAATAGTTTTAGCATCCTGGCAAAGAGAAATAGAATCGACAAAATACAAGTGCTTCAGACTTTCATAGCTCCCACAGCCTAGGAGCTTTACTTCAAATTCATCATTCCCCTAGTCAAAGAGGTAAAAGGTAAGATTGCATGAGCAATGACAGAAATATACCATCTCTGCTGGAAGCAGCTCCTGATGCTCCCACAGTACTCCCACATCCTCACTCAGGGTAGGGGCGGTGCTTCCATTTTACAGATGAGGGAATGAGGGCCAGTTTGGAAGCTGGGGTCTGGACACTGGTTCCTTTATCTTCAGTACTACACTCTTTTACAAAAAAAATACTTTCCTACACAAGGAATGCACCCTGCACCAGCTGATTTTAGTCCTCTCAGCCTGGAGGAGTGGCTCTACCCTGAAGGACCTGCTCAACACCCCTCCCCCAGGACATAGACTGGTCCTCCCACCAGAAGGAATTCCTTCTTAGCGCTGCTGAAGCCAGGCTCCACCAGCCTTACCCTGCAACTCCACAGTTGCCTGGCCCTGAGTACATCTGAGGGGTGGGGAGATGACTAACACGAGATGCTGATGCCAGGAGGCCCTGATAAGACAATGTGGTTTAAAGCATTCATAAATCATTTTATTTTATTTTATTTTATTTTATTTTTTAGACAGAGCCTCAAACTATCCCCCTAGGTAGAGTGCTGTGGCATCACAGCTCACAGCAATGTCCAACTCCTGGGCTCCAGCGAGTCTTCTGCCTCTGCCTCCCAAGTAGCTGGGACCACAGGCCCCCGCCACAATGCCCGGCTATTTTTTGGTTTCAGCTGTCATTGCTGTTTGGCAGGCCCGGGCTGGATTCAAACTTGCCACCTTAGGTGTATGTGGCTGGTACCTTAGCCACTTGAGCCACAGGTGCTGAGCCCATAAATCATTTTAAGAAGTACCTTTCGATACCCTCCTTTCCCAGTTTCTTTAATATAAACCATCTCTGTGGTCCTTACAATGCCTAGCAGAGTGTCTGGCATAAAACACAATTGGACATAAAAACTAAGTAGCGACTATATGCCAGGAACGATATGCAGAGAATTAATAAACATTTCCTCATCTACTCCAACAGCCCCATGAGATCAAGGCTGTTGCCTCCATTGGCAGACGAGGAAACAAAGCCAGAGTGAGTTTAAGGGTCTCTCTCACCCAGGGTTTGCCCGACACTAGAGTGTAAGCTTAATGAAGGCAGCATTTACCTGTTTTATTCACAGCTAGAGTCACCTTAGAACAGAGTCTGGGACACTATAGGGAAGGCCTCAGTAAATCAATGATGAAATTAAAATTGAACTCAGTCTTGTTTTTTTTTTAGAGACAGGGTCTTGCTCTGTCACCTGGGCTAGAGTGCAGTAGCCTCATCATAGCTCAATACAACCTCAAACTCCTAGGCTCAAGCCATCCTCCTGCCTTAGCCTCCTGTGTAGCTGGAACTACAGGTGCATACTACCACACCCAGCTAATTTTTCTATTGTTTTGTAGAGCTGGGATCTCACTCTTGCTCAGCCTGGTCTTGACCTTCTATCCTCAAGCAATCCTCTTGCCTCCACTTCCCAAAGTGCTAGGATGAGCCAAGACACTTGGCCTTGGAACCCAATTTTTAAAAATACAAAGATAATGCCCTGTCAAAAAGAATAGTATTCTGTGAATATGTGCTTCAATGTTGAAGACTGTAATTTTTCCAGGATAGAAAGCTGTTACTCAAACTGGAAGAGGGAATTAGGCACTGATGTGAGCCTGCACCTTCACCCTGCCTAGCCTGGGAAGTTCTGGCCTGAGATGGGGCCACCTGCAAACTGCCCCTTGTCGAATGTAGGTAGTCCTCTAGGGTAGGGCTGTGGCCTGGCATGTCCCCACTCAAACTGCAGATCTCTGGATCTGGGGTCAATCACAGCCAATACAAGGAAATGATTTTGGCTGCAAGACCCTAAAATCTAGAGAATGATTTTTACAC